ATCACAGTGCAGTGAATATGATGTTATAAAACATACTATTTGTAAAGGGTTAAGCTCTAAGAACTAGAGGCTAGTCCTCCTATATAACAAGGACGAATTGCTTGAGAAAGGGAAGAAAAGAATGAGATGAGAACTCAAGCTTAAGTGAGCTTGCATAGCATGATCACGTGTGCATGTGCAAATGATGGCTAGGCTGAGTCAGCCAGTCAGAGCGAATCTAGAGGTTCAACCCCTTATACTATTCATACATGCTCTCAGCATACAGAGAATAATTTATAATATAATTAACTGATTTTACTATCTAGTTGTGATGATATTCAATTAGAAAGATATTGAATAATGAAGATTTATTTTGATAGATGATTTGTCTCAGTAAATGATTGATTACATTAATTAGTTAAGAAGTTAACATAATTTCACACTAAGTGAGACATCTCAGTGAGCAAGATATCAAAATCATCATATCTCAATTAACTAGATTTTAATCTGAAATATTTACACTTATCTCTTTCTAATTAAATTAAATTAAATTACATTAGATTGAGAGTATTTTATTCTTTTATGATCAGATAAATTGCAGTTGCTGCACTGCTATGATGCTTCTGAGCATAATCTAGACTCAGAGACTGTAAACTTAAAAAATTGAATGACAGACTGTTCAACAGATGCAACAGATGAAATAATAAGATTCTAAGCTTTTTATCTAGTGAGATTCTCTGCAAGTTGAATCTGATATCTAAATCTAGTCTGCTTTTACTTTTCTATCTTATTCACATTGAATATATTCTAGTATTACTTCTTTAGAATAGTGATGCTAATTATTTCATATTTACAAATCTTGATAATTTGATTAAAATCTTTCACAAAGTCTTAAGGCTGAACTTTCACTAAGTATTTGATCTTCTTTGTCTGCTGGTGTAATTGCCAGGAATTACTAGATGTTTGAAGTATTCAAAACATGATTGAATTGCTAGAGCTGCTGCATGAGAGGGTAGAAATCTGAGATTGAATATCTAGCTGCTGAAGAATGTAGTCAGATTGAAAGAACACTATTTCAGTAGCTTTGAAGTCATTTTGAATAGTCTGCAGTTTGAAGACTTCAGAATGCACTGCAGAATAAGTCTTTAAGAAATCTGCCTTCTAAATAGCATTAAATTCTAGCTGCATTCACTATTAAATTAAACTCTCATATGCTCACTTTAAGACTGCAAAAACACTCATATCTAGTGACTGTAAAAGATGTGATGAATGAGATGACATGCAAAGATATATAATAGTATTATTCTTGCAGATATGATTGAATTCTGAGATAAGATGACTGTCATATCTGTTCAGAATAAAAAGACTATAAGTGTCAACTCTTCATGAATTTACAGCAGAAATAAATAATCTAGTAAGTCATTTGACTTCTATCTCATCCATAGTTCAGTCATTAGAGCTAACATCAAGTCTTTAGCTGTCTGAGTGTCTGTCAAACCAGTCTTCCTGTAGAATCTGCCCTTTGAGAATGATGTATGATAATAGGACTCATTTCAACATGTTGACTGCCTCAATCACAGTCACCCATTCACAATTCTCAGACTGTAGGAGCTTTGCTCAGTCATAGTGCTCAGCACTAGTGATGATCTTAGTAGTGGCATAGAGCTTCATGGCAAAGTCAGTCTCATCAAAGTTGTATATATTCTCTGATAGAATTCCATGCTTAGCAATTATAGCCTTCAAGATTTTAAATCAATCCTGTATAACTCTGATATCTTCACATTTGACTCATTCATGATTATAGTGTCTGGAATAGTGGCTTTGAAGCTCCATACAATGTTTAATCAGTCTTGAAATCCAGTTCTTGCTGACCCGGGGGGGAGAGGTGGTAGAGGTGATGGAATTCCATAAGGTAAGAAGATAATTAGCCATATCCTCAACAAATGCTGGCTGGGGGGTAAATCCTTGTTTAACATGATCCAGCACCTATTCAACTAGCCTATCCTCTTCAGTCTGAGTCAATTTGTGTGAATTTGAGTGTAAATTCACCTGTGCAGGTCTGCCACTAAGTCAATGATCAAGAGTAGAAGATGAAACATCAAATAGGCATGCAGCTTCACAAATTGAGAATTTTTCATCATTTTGAATAGATTTTATTGTGAGTTCAAGCCTCCCCTCTCTCTCAATAGAATTTGAAGAATTTTTATTGTGAATTGGTGGCATAATTGCGTGTTGAAGTGGAAGAGTAGTTAAATTAGATGATATTTTGAAATGGTGTCTCGCTCGCTGGGGTGTCTCGCTCGGTGTGGAATTACGTTAGTTAGTTACCTAGTTATAACTATCATGATAGATAACTAACTCCTCCTGTCCCAACACCATCAGCCACCCCAATATGCCCCGCCATGCCCACCTCAGACCCTGAATACGTCGCCCAACCCTCCGACAACGATCTGGACGAGCTCATCGCCTCCGCCTCCGACGACGATGACGAACTAGATACCCGACCCTCCGCCTCCGGCCGCGCCGCGCGCTCGAAAGATGCCAGGCGCCGCAAGAAGGGCCGCGGCGGTGCGGAGTGGGAGGTATCCCGCACCTGGGAAACGCTGGTTGAGGGTGCAGATGGCACGATCCGCGCGACAGTCGAGGGCCTGTTGGAGGCGGGCAAGAGGAGAAGGTGCGTGTAGGGGTTTTTCTTTTCTTTTCTTTTCTTTTTTTTTGTGTGTGTGTGTCATTGTATGGGAGGGGAGGGGAAAGGGGGCTGGGTGTTGATAATGTGAAGACATTCATCATAACAGCTATGACTGTTTACTATATCCCTTTTAATAACACTGATCTCTCATGCTGAATTGAAACCTACATCTCATCATCAACAAAATATAACCCCCCTCCCCCCAAAAACCATGCCACTTCAAGCCCAATCCCAATCCCAATCCAAACTAACAATAGCCACCCCGCAGAGTTCTCCGCGACACCACCCCGCTGCAACGCGGCATAATCCGCCACCTAATCCTAATCCTCGACCTCTCCTCCGCCATGTCTGAAAAGGACCTGCGCCCAACCCGCTACCTCCTCACCCTCCGCTACGCCCAGGACTTTGTCCGCGAATTCTTCGACCAAAACCCCATCTCCCAGCTAGGAGTGGTGGGCATGCGCGACGGCCTCGCAGTCCGCATAAGCGATATGAGCGGCAACCCGACGGAGCATATACTGGCTATCCAGGGGCTGCGCGCGAAGGATCCGAAGGGGATGCCGTCGTTGCAGAATGCGCTGGAGATGGCTAGGGGGGCGCTTTTGTATGCTTCCCATCTCTAGATATACATATATATCGGTTCTCCAAGGTGTTTCCTGCAGAGATGGGTTCAATTTCTCTAACAGTGATGCTATAGCCACACACCAAGCCACGGCACCCGCGAAGTCCTTATAATCTACGGCGCCCTCCTAAGCTCCGACCCGGGAGACATTCACAAAACAATCACCTCCCTCATCACCGATAAGATCCACGTCTACGTCCTTGGCCTCGCCGCGCAGGTCTCCATCTGCCAAGAACTCGTCACAAGAACAAACAACGGCGATGACTCAGGCTACAACGTCGCCATGAACGAGCAGCATTTCCGCGAGTTAGTTTTGAACGTCACCACCCCACCGGCCACCACACTCGCCTCCCACACCGCCGCCGCCGCCGCCAACGGCACAGGCACAAACCCCAGCACAGACGGCACCCTCCTCCCCATGGGCTTCCCAAACCGCCACCTAACCCCGCACCCAACCCTGTGCGCCTGCCACTCCACCCCCTCACGCTCCGGCTACCTCTGCCCCCGCTGCTGCACGAAAGTCTGCACTCTCCCGGCCTCCTGCCCCTCTTGCAACCTGACCTTAATCCTCTCGACGCATCTGGCCCGCTCCTACCATCACCTGTTCCCGCTTATGAATTGGGTGGAGGTGTCGTGGCGGAAGGCAGCGAGGGCGGAGGCGGAGGGGAGGGTGGGGTGCTTTGCGTGTGGGGTGGGGTTTGCGGGGGTGCCAGGGGAGTTTGTGGGGGCTGAGGGGGATGAGGAAAGGGAAGAGGAAGAGGACGGGAAGGGGGAAGGGAAGGGTGCTAGCAGGGGGATTAGTGTTAGTGGGCGTTATGAGTGTTTGGTTTGTCGGTGTCATTTTTGCATTGATTGTGATGTATTTGCCCATGAGGTTGTGCATAATTGTCCTGGGTGTCAGAGTGGGGTTGTGCAGGTGAGGGAGCAGGAGGGGTTGGATTTGAGTGGGGATGCGAATGGGGGTGGGAGTGGGAATGGGAATGGGAATGGGAATGGGGCGGTTGATGTGATGGATACGGAGTAGAGAAGCGAGTGACGAGGGCAGGGTCGAAAGGAAGGGAAGAACTGTGCTCTTGTTCTTGAGAATGAGCTCTTTTAACGATATATGAATTTTCTTTTCTCCCCTTTCAATCGGGATGCTTACGGGTTGCATGGCACAGGCGTTTTGATTTATATTTCAATGTGGGTTGGGGGGAGGCGGCGTTAGGTACATACCCATACCATACAAATTAAATGATAAAGAGGAGTATTTGAAAAGGGGGTTTTGGCCCATGCCATCTTGATTTTTTACTATATTCCAAGGAAATGCCCGACACCTCATCCTCCGTATTAAAGTTGACAATGCGATGCATCATTCAAATCGATGGTATTAAATGACACCAGAAATACTTAATTGATTCTTCTTCTCCTCAGCAAAAAGGGGTTACAGTGGCTGGTTGACTTTTCAGGGGCTCGCGGCAGAATATCAAGGCGGTGTGCTAACCCAACACAAACTCCCCTCCTGACATCATCTGCACTGCATCAACCCCCTGGATCTTGAGAGCGACAGCAAACCCAGAAAACGCAGCTCACAAATCCCAATTCAAAAACAAGGGGGGGGGGGCGCATAGAAATACCTAATAAAAATAAAAATAAAAATAAAAAATAATAATCAAATAATAATAAAAATATAAGATATAACCCACCTCTTCCTCCCAATCCCCAACCGCAATGTCAACAACCCATCCCGCCGAGGATATCCCCTCCTCCAGCGCCCCTCCACAACCACAGAACCCCTCAGCCACTTCCACCTCCACCTCCACATCACCTCCCTCACCACCCTCGCAATCCCCCTATCAAGCCTTCCACACATACCCCTTCGCCAGCGATGCGGAATTCAAGCTGGGCCTAGGCATGATTCTGGGCAAGCCGGCGGGAACGCCGGCGACGGATGAGGAGGTTGATCAGGTACAGATCGGAGAGGTGGAGGGAGGAGGGGAAGGAAAGAGAGAGAAGGAGGAGTTGCTGTTGAAAGCGAAGTTGTTTTATTTTGCGAAGTGAGTTTTGTGATTTCACTTTTGCTTTTTCTCTTTTCCCTGGGGAGGGGGGGGAGGGAGGTGTGTGTGTGTTGAGGTGAATGTGGGCGTGAAGAGGGATGAAGATGGAATAACGAGCAAAATAACCCCCCCTTCCTCTCTTTATATTTCTCTATCACCTGCACCATTAACTAACCAAGCGATAACCCAAACTCAGAAAGTTCCCCACACCAACAGCTTCAACCCCCCTAACACCACAAGGCTACAGAGCCTACCTCCGCCAATTAAACAACAACCCTCCCACCACCACCACCACCACCACCACCTCCTCCTCCTCCTTTCCCCCCTCCCCCTCCGCCTCTTCTCAACCCTCCTTACCACCCTCCACCTCCACATCCTCCACCTCCCCGGCCCCTCCCCAACCGCAGCCCCAGACACCCTCCTACCCAACCCCCTTCGCCCACATCGTCTCCCTAATAACCAACAACCAGCCCATCCCCGGCATCCAGAACATCCCCGACATAGTGCTGATGGGCATGGATAAACCGAGTGCTAAGGCGAGGCGGAGGAAGCCGTGGGAGGTAGAGGGGGTGGGTGGTACTTCTGATCTTGCTACTACTGCTGCTGCTGCTGCTGCTGCGGTGGGTGTGATTAGTGCAGTCAGTGCAGATGGGACGGATGGTACGGTTGATGATAGCGCTGGTGATGACAAGCAAGGAGGCAAAGGCACAGAAGAAGCTGCTGCTGCTGCTGCCGCTGGCGCAATCAGTCCCGGCAATGTGCCAGACAATGCGGGTACTCAGGGCGATCATGAAGGTCAGGGCGAGCCGCAGCAACATCATCATCATCAGCAGCAGTAGCAGTAGCAGCAGCACTTGCAATGACTACTATACTATATAAATCAGTGCTTGGAAAAATGGGGGGGGGGCCCAGACAGGCAGGGATTCATGCAACCACTCCTGGAGCAAGTCGTCCGTCCATCATATATAGCATACCCATTCATAAATCCATGTTAACATACACATACGGAGCAGATAACCGTTTAACCTACCACAGAGCATTGACCCACAACAAGCAAGCCCGTTCTCAATAGAAGCCATAGCTAGTTATATATAACAACTCAGAACCGTTACTCTTACCTACAAATCTTTCACATTCAAGTTATCAACGCCATCCACCCCCATCTCTCTATATCTCTAATTTTTGTAACAGCGGGAAATTGGTTTGCATTAACTTATGTAGCTAAGTCATAAATAACTATTAGCTAAACACACCTCCATCAACATTAACATACACCAATAACTAATCCCACTATCACTTTAGAAGAATATCTGATCCACTATAACCCTTTTTTGGCTTGTTATAAAGTAAAAAAAAAATTAAAAAATAAGAAAATAAGGGGGTGGGGGTAGCGAGAGCGCGACGTCCAGTAGTTGTGGAGGAAGACATAACATAGGTAATTGCTTTCCAGTTTCGTAGAAAATTGGCGACGAACCAGCCAAAGAAACGAAGGTATTGACGGCAAGAAACGGCGAAACGACAACAGTTGGATAAAAGATAGCGAAAGAGCGTATAACAAAATCTCGTACAATGAACGCTGTCAACATAGTGATAAAACATAGGATAGACCTTTGATAAAAAAAACAGAATAAGACCCTAGCACCTACTTTTTCTTTTCTGTCGTAAACCAAAGCACTGGGAATTCAACCCACGCCTATTAGCTGTCTTAGGATAAATCATCTTTCAAAGAAATATGGCAATTTAAAAAGAATGAAAAATGGGTGTCTGTATAGCTCGGAGTTTTTCAGAAAAGAAAAACAAGAAAAAAGCAAACAAGTTTCTGTAAAGGAAGGACAAAAGACAGGAAAATAAGAGAAGGATCTGAAAGAAAAATTGGTTCAGAATGGTTGTTGGGTTCGGTAGGTAGCAGGCAGCTCCAACAAGCCAAAGAGCAGATTATTAGGATTTTCAATAGAAAAAGGCTCGAACCAAGCGGGGAAACCCACGCATCCGAGAATCCTAGACTGGAGAAAATAATTGTAAATGGGCATTCCGATATGTGATCCTGTTTTAGGCATTCTACGGTCAAGTGTTCCAAACGTTGGATATGCTGACGAAAAACCAAGGGCCTTGGTGATAAGAGACTATATTTTGATCAACGATATGCCGGATAGTTGGGGCTGGAGTTGGAGTTGGAACCCCACTGGCCGCCACTCCGATTGAAACGAACTGCTGGCTGGCCTCCGGGAAAACGCTCTTCACTGGGGCTGGAAAAGCGGCTAACTTGAACTCCTGCTCCTGGGCCTGGACGGGTAACATGATTTGGGTTGCAGCAAAGCATTGCAACACGAGAGCCAAATTTAGACCCACGCAAAGAGACCATATGTTTACTGCTGCATGGTTAGACACAACAGGACGAAAAATCAAAGACGGATGTGAACAAACCGAATATGGGTGGCAACGATATCACGTTGATGAGATGCTGCATTCATAAGGATCCACTGGATCAAGTAGTTGCCATACTGATCGCCAGCAACTACTCAATGCATTAGCTCTCATACCATGTGGTTAGAGAGTGTTTCTCAAACTTACTATCGATGAGAGGCATGCGAGGACGGTCGGGACGCCCGGTGCAAACACGGTTCAGATAACGGTCGAGAAACTCAGATCCACCAATTTTCAGGCACTTCTCCACGACCTTGGAGGCGAACTGGTCCATACTATAGTCAGTGGCCCAGAGAAGGATGTGCTCAATAGCACGGCTCTTGTCATGGGGTGCGCCGTGTTCGCAAATGTGCTGGATGCACCAGTTGCCAAACTGTCCGTGAGAGAGAAGATCGACATTCGAAAGCACTTCCTCAATTGCTTGACGCTGCAGCAGTGTTGTCAGCTTGCTTCACCAAAAAAATAAAAGTTGGGGGGGGGGGAGGAGGAGGAATCGTACCTTTTCATCCTCAACACAGTTCTCAAAGATGTTCTGCACGACCAGGCTTCCAGTCTCCCCGAGAGCGACTTCATGCCACATTCCACGCAATGCCTCGTTGACCTTAGCCATGATCTGAGGGGGCTCATTGCTCCAGCGAAGCTCGAAAAGTTTCTGCCAGACATGGCAAGCATAGCGATGGATGACTGTTTCTGGGATACGGCGTAGCAACTCATGAACCATTACTGCTTTATGCTCCTCTGGCACACAGTCAAATGCCTTTTGGATCACATGACAACCGAAAGGATCCATACTCAAACTCAGGGTGTTTCCGCGCACCGCGTTGGCTATGGCAATGATTTGTTCAGGAGTGCCATGTTCGAAACAGCGTTGAACAAGGAAGTTTCCGAAACGGTTGACCATCAATGGGTATGCCTGATTAACAATTGCTTCGATAATTTCGAACTTCTGCTCGGAGGTGCCAACCTTGAGCTTTTGCTGGAGGAAAATTGAGGCCTGCTGGTCATTGCCGCAGACGATCTTGTCGACAATATACTTCCAGTCACAGGACACACTCTTGTCAAGCAGACGACGGTAGTTCAACGGCTCCAAAGGTGAAACATAGGTCTGAGCAGCACCAGATGTAGACTATAACCATCAGTCATGAAAATGAAAAATGGTTGAGTGTTGTACTTACCGCGGTGCTCCATGCATCAGCTGAATTGACAGTAAACTCCGCTGCAGTTGGGGAAAGAGGAGTCCCAATGGGACGTGGCTGGTACTGGCCAGGAGCAGGGCTGGGAGCAGGAGGGCCCGGAAACATTCCGGGATAAGTCCCTGCATGCTGGTTGCTTACAGTTCGAGTTGTTGGCCCACCAGGAGCGGTGGTAGGAAAAGTTCCCCAGGGAGAATTTTGTGGTGGAAAGCACGAACCGCCACGGTTCAACTGGGAAGAAGGGCGGCGACTAGCCGCACTTTGGAGAAACTGGGACTGTTCATTGGCATAACGACTATCAAACCCAAAGGTAGGGGAACCAGGGCCAGAGGATAACACACGCTGGTTGGGCACATAAGCTGGATTCTGTCCCATGCCCTGTTGAGGCAATCTGCCAGCCCAGTTACGGCCAGGGTCAGCTGCAAAGTTGGAGTTGCCCAAGGGAGCCGAAACCTCGCGGTAGGGCCTGTCATTTCCAACAGCAGCATTCATTATGAATGACGGATGAGTATTGTTCCATATGCCACGGGCACGGTTGTAGCCACCAGCAGAAAGAGCGTCTGAGATGTCAGAGCGGGCGTCATCCTGGCTAGCCCAGGTCTCCTGACGTTGACTATAGGGGCGGGTAGATGCATTGAAAGCATGCTGCAAATTGCTAATGGTTTGTTCAGTGATCTCACGACCACTGAAATCAGCCTCAGAGGGCGGACCCATAGCTTGGTCCAAGGTGTGCTTCATCACACGAGTCTGCGCCAGCTCTTGCTCCTGGAGCGCAAGACGAGAATTAGCAGCAACTAGTTCCTGCTTCAAACGAAGCATCTCAATGGCATCCGCATTGTCCTGTTGGCCAGCATTTGAGTCACCGGAACTCAAGGCAGGAGAAGATTTTACACCCTGGGCTTGAGATGCAGAGCGCAGCTGCTTGTCCATTAGGATCTTCTGCTGCTGTTCCAACAAGGCTTGCTGCTCAGACAGCTTGGCCATAATATCGTGATTGAGAGACGACTGGCTCACGGGGATACTCTCCTTGGGGGCCAACTTTGCTAGGATTTGATCAATAGCAGACTGCTGTGTCTCTGGATTGGAGACTGGATTTTCATGTTCCAATTTCTGCTTCTAGGACTGTCAGCATTGCTTATCAAAACAGAGGGAAAGAGTTGGGGGGAAGAGGGAATAACTGCGTCTATCTGACCTTGTTGGAATGACTAGATTCATTCCCTGCAGCAGAAAAGACGGGGAATTTTCCCAACTTCGAGGACTCCAGATGACTACAGTGGCCTTCAGTACTAGAATTGTACTGCAGGCCCTGTGAACGAAAGACATTGCATTAGAACCGGAATCGAAGCGGGAAGGCGCGTCGAGCAGTTACCAATACGAAGGGGGGATAAAAAGGGGAAATCCTACCGGAACAACACGCTCACGGCCACCACCACCACCACCACCACCACCATGGTCCCCGTCATCCTGAGGGGGTTCAGGAATTCTACGAGTTGCCTCAGGGGATCCAGGAGTACGGAGCGACATCTTGACAGCAGTCTCGGGTCCCAAGAGTCTTTGTAACTTTGCCTGTCCGCGGGTGTTTCCCGGCGGAGTGGTCTGCAACCACGCAAGCGGAATCCAGTATAAACAAGGAGGAAAAGCACCACAAAAAATAGGTGCAGAATCCAAGGAAATTGGAAATGAAATATCAAGAGATACAACTGATATAAGAATCGAGAAACGCAGAAGCAGCAGAACAAGATGTAGAAGAGAGCACGCGAGGGTCCAGGTTTCGATTGATTATCAAGGGACAAAAATGTAAACAGATAGACGACGACGCGCTAGGAAGGCTTAGCACGTCTCCTCTACTATCTTCCAGGACGCGAATTGGCTCTTGAAAGGGAGCAGCCAATGTAAGCTACTGGGCAAGATAGAGAAGAGGATGGAAGAGACACGCGCTGAGACAGAGATTTTGTAGCCAGAAAGACGGAGAACCCGACACAGAGGTGAAAGATGACAGAGAGAGATTTAACCCGACATAGAGACCAAAGACAGAGATTTAAGAAGGAAGAAATTAACAGATGAGATTGGAGAGATGGAGTGAGAGCTTGGAAGGAGGGAGGGGGGAGGGGGGAGGGAGGAGAGAAGGGGTGACAGACAAAAAGAATGCGAGCTGTGAGGAGAAAGAGAGAAGAGAAGAAGAGAGAAGAAGGGAGTAGAAGAGAAGAGAGGAGAAGAGAAAGGAGAAGGGAGAAGGAGGAAGATAGAAGTAGGAAGATGGTTTGCTATTGTTGTTATTATTTTCTTTTTCTTTTCCTTTTATTTCCCTCTCTCCCCCTTAGGAGAGGGAGGAAGGGGAGGGGGATGGATCCTCACTGTGGGAGGAAGGTTAACCCCTTTTGAGAGATTAGGGCTTTGACCTGACAGGAGGAGAAAGTGGACAGTGGTGAGCAACTGTACGGCAGGACGATGAGAGTCCGTGGTGATAGGGAATATTAGAGAAAGGAGGAGAGGGGATTACTCGGACTGAATGCTAGATTAGATGTTGCTTCATCTCTTCTCTGCGTGCCAACTCCCATACCCCTGAACCAGAGAAAGGACTGGATAGAGACGATCACTGATCAGAGACAACGCCGTGAAGATAAACAAACCAAGTGTTTTCTATATATGAAGAGATGGTAGAGGGAAAGAGATATTGGTTTTACTGCTCGATAGGTGTAAAATAAGAAGAGAGACATGGTCCAATGGGCTGCGCGATATTGCACAACAAAACAGACACCGGGATTAAGGTAGAAGGCAGAAGGCGAAAGAGCCTATGTCGAGCACCACCTCTTTTATATCCAGTCAAAAAGGGACGGGGATTAAGACGACCCGAGAAGGTATTGGGAATTAGATCAACTTACGATCCATCGAGAGTATTCATACCAGCGGTGGCCGGTGCAAACAAAGCTGACCACCCAGAAGAGACTGAAGAACACCCATTTCTGTCAAGGGAATAGCAGAGTTTAACCCGAGAAAATAATAATAATAATAATAATAATATAAAATAAAAAGACCCAACGTACCGAAGCAAACCTAGAGGAGAAGCCAAAAACCAAAAGAAAGCCAGAAACACAATGTAATGAGAGAGACAGGTGGATATGCCTCCATCGAAGTTCTTTACGCTCTGCGTTGCCAGTCCGCGGCGGGTATCAAAGAAAAGGAACAAAAAACAAAAAGATAGTTGGAAAGTGAGCTTTGTGGTGTTGAGATCTCTCAGCCATGTATCGGAGGAATATCGATTAATTATGAGGGCGACAGAGACCAGAGACCAGGGACCAGGGACCAGGGCCTGGGAGCTTGAAAACCAGACAGCTACCCACCAGCTGAACGTTGATTCAGATGTCCATACAGCCAATCAATCAACCATGAGCGGCATCTTCCAGATCCATTAAGAAGGCAAACCTCATACCCCTCTCTCAATAAATAAATAAATAAAAAATAAATTGCTAGACCAAATCCAAATCACCCCACTCTCCTCCACCGCCAATCCAAAAACCCCCCCGAAACCACCCCCGCAACCCCCATCCACCTCGCCCGCTCCCCCAAAACGACAAAATCCGGCTGCCCAACTCCAGTCAGCAGCGGCACAAGACGGCTCGCCTGCCGCAGCCCTGGCACGTCGGCGCCCCAGATTACCAATTCGAGGCGTTGATGGGGGAGGGGGCGGAGGAATATGGCGCCGAGATTGGGTTCGATGGGCAGTGTGGTCGGCTTGGGACGTGAGGGTTGGATTGTTATGTGGGTCTTTGAGATGGAGATTGGGAATGTGGGGAGAAGGGAAGGCGGGAGGGCGTCTGTCAGGGCGAGGGTCATTATGTTTCCATTTCCGTTTCCGTTTCCGGTGCTGGTACCGGTACTGCTATTGGCGCAGTTGGTGGCTGGTAGGATCTCGGCATCCGCGGCGAAATACTGCAGTAGATTTCGACTAACCTGTACCGCCACTCTCTCCAACTCCCCACTCCCCTCCCCCCCGCTTGCGCAGATTCTTACCAGAAACCGTCCTCTCGTGCGTAATATCGCATCCATAGCTCCATTCTGCCGACCGTAGCGCTGGGAGAGATCATCGCGCCAGGACCCATCCGAAGACATCGTCCAGGAACCGCTGATCTCATCTTTGACAAACCAGGTCGCATTACCATCGTCGACACCCGGGACCGTAAATCCAGTCGAAGGGTCATCTATTCTGATCTCCACTGGTCGTGACACTACCCGCATTCGCCCCGGGAGGAGATGGAACCGGTGCACATTACGCGTCTTCAGATGCCATAGTCCACCCCTGTTGCCTTCCCGCGTTACTCGGATATGCCCATACCTATCTGGAGAACTTAATTGGTCGACAGCAATACCACCCCGCGATCCCATATCCCCTGAACTCGGAACAACAAATGAAAATTCCTTCGGGAGCAGGTCATCATACGATCGCCGGCTGGCATGGTGTGAGTAGAAATCTATCAGTGGCGGCGTCGTGAGGACGCCCGTGAACCAGTGACCTGCATCGGGGAGCTCGTGGTACGTGGATTGCCAATTATTTTCCTGGGTGAGTTGGTGGAGGAGGCGGGAATGGTAGGCTGGGACGTTATCGTCGGCGGATCCGTGTTGTTGGAGGATGGGGGTCCCGGCGAGGTTGGGGATTAGGAGTTCGTGTTTGAAGGATTGGAGGGACGTTCGCAGGAGATGGGTTAGATCTAAGTCGCTGGGGTGCCACATTGTGTATGGGACGTAGTCTGGTGATTTGAGTTGGTGTTATTTGTTGCGCGGATAAGGTGGGCATGGATATGTGTTTAGGGGGCTTACATACTTTCAATCGAGGAATATCCCGAAACAGGTGCGGCGGCGATAATTTTGTCAGATTGATGCGTGAGGAGAAACCATGTCCCCTGGCCTAGCAAAAGCCCAATATATATATCAACCAGATGCCCTCAACGATCATAGAGCATATACATGTACAGTACAAATACAAACCTCCATTCGAATGCCCCGACACAATCCAATCCTCCAACGCCACCCCAGGCCCCTCCCACCCTACCGCCTCCATCCAATCCGGTATCGCAGCGACCGCAGCATGCACATCCGCCGAACCCCAGGTATCTGTGAATTCCATTAGCAAACCCCTTTCATATCTACCACACACCAATGCCATTCACTACCACGGGGAGAAAGAAGAGGAGAAAAATATAACGCACGCCAATCATCTCCACTCCAGCTCGTGCCTCCAGTCGGAAACACTATCCACGCACACACGCCATACGAAGCATCAAGCATATGTCGAACCTGTTCATCAGCGGCCTCGAGACCTGCGCCGTGAAGGGAAAGCAGAACAGGGAGATTGTGTTTACCGACTGAGTTGCATGTGGTATTCAGCGGGGGGAGGAGGATGGCGTAGGATACGACGGCGGCGGTGTGGAGGAAGGTGAACTTTTGCGCTTCGGATATTGTACGCTGTGTCAGGGTTGCAGGCAGGCCTTTTGTTTTTCGTATTCGCACGTCGTCATCTGGGGAGCGGAATTTGTAGCTGAACTGGAAGGTGAAGTTTGACGGGGATTGGTCGCAGAAATCTATCCGGAAAGACATAGGGCGCGACTGGAATGGAGCCAGTATGAGCGGGCTGTGTAGCAGGGATAACGTTGGACCGGAACCAGCGGGCCGCACATCATCATCGACAGTCCGTATATCGGTAACCTCCACCCATATCTCGTGATAATTCCTCACGATCACAGAAGCAAAGGGCGAAATAAGTTTCCCCTCCACAACTTCAGCAACCAGCAAGCTACCTGCATCCAAAGCCAGTTGCACCTCGCTACCGCCATCTTCAGCATCCCCACCATCCTCAGCAAAATGCCTCAGCTGCTTCACTTCCACAACAGCCCGCACCCTTGGCTCCCCCACACCCCCCATCGCCCTGACATCCCTCACAAACCTTAAGTCAATGACATGCTCCCCAGCCGCCAGATTCATCAAAATCGGCGCGCGGCGATATGTGTAGAAATCTCCGCCAAAATACGGCTCTCCATCAATCCAAATTTCCAGCAGGCCGTCGGTAAATATAGCCACAGTAGCAGCAGAAGTAGTAGCAGCAGCAGCAGCATTCGTGGTAGTGCTACGCCCACCATCAGCACCAGATGCTGATACGGTAATACTCCCTCTCGCCCACGCCTGATATTGCAACGCAGCCCAGCCGTAAATAGACTGGAAAAAGGCCCAGTCAACATCTGGGAAACCGAGGTCCAATGTCACTTTAGCGGAGCCATCATCGCTCACCACGAGTTCTGATGCTTCCAAGACAGACCAGTGAACAGTACCATTGAGACCCAGGGCGCTGGCGAAGGTGGCGTTGGGGTCATGAGCAAAGGATATGTTGCGAAATCCACCCAAGATCTCAAGGGGGTCAGCGCCCCAAGTTGCCTCTGCGGAAAGGGGTTATTTAGTTAGTCAATGGAATTCAAAATTTCAAAATTTTTGAGTGTACTTCTGCTTCCTCGATGCAGATATAGACCTGATGAAGGAACCAACTAAGCCTAATATCAGCCCGGGCCCCCTTCCCCACACCCCAAACCAGCGATTCGACGGAACAAGGAACCAAAAATTCAAAATACAGACAGACACTAACCTCTCGTGCCGATGTTGAAAGGACCAAGGACATGCCACGTCCTCGAGAGTGATATGGGTGGTGGTGGTGGTGGTGGTGGTGGCAGAAGTATCCTGTTCATATTCGCATCCATATTTGCGAGCACATCAGCATTGGAGCCCCGTTCCACAAGCGGGAACATGGGGTTTATATCTCCTCCAAACACCCTGCTCATCCAACATAACATCCAAACAAATATCAAATCTGGACGTGTTAACCGTGTGATGTACATTCTTTCATCCATCGCTCATCAATTCCAACGGGCAGAGTTGGTATATGAGAGGGGCCTGCCAGAACGTGGGGAAGGATGAGCGAGCACCAAGTCGTCTTCAGTGAGTACTGATGCATGTAATGCATACATTGCGCGGCCAAGAGAACTGAGACGATTCGCATGAGGGTCTAATGCTCCATTTTCCAATAACTAATAGCTAAGGTAGTTATAGATTTCTTGAGTTTATATATGGAATGGCGATTGCTGATGAGGGTTCGACGAATCAACGCGCAACTGCAGGAGTCCCCGGTTGTAACACGGTGCTCGCAGAAATTGCCCAAGTTAAGCATTGTGCAGGCCAGGGACTCACGGGTTGTTCAGTGCCCAGTTCAAAGATTTATGATCTTACGATTCATGGCTGGACGTAGATCTGTTGCTCTTGTGCACGTAGTTATTCTGCTCCGAGTCTTGGTGTGAGGGTTAACTACTACTAGTAGTTAGCGGGTCGGGTCGGCTTATCGTTTCTGCCAGCCTCTTTATTTAGTTAACGCTTTCGAGCGTCGCCAATTGCCGTCGCAGGATTAGACATAATACATGATTAGTTAGTTACATGCCCGGTCTGGGGAGACATAGCATCGTCCAAATACTACCTACCATCATGTTTCATCAAGTAACTGACTGGATGGGTGGCGTGTATATTTAATATCCGCAGCCCACCTCACCTCCTTTTTAGATCTCACCGGGCGTCGTCGCAGAGCTAGCTAGCATAAAATTAAGCAGAGAAAATTGGCTGCTAGTTGTTTAGACCCATAACTCAAGACCATTAACTAATAACTAATAGTTATAACTAGCATACACCCTTCAGTACTTACAACCGCCGTCGGCACGAAGAAGCAAGCCTCCCCTAAGGGGTAAATTTTACACATAACTCCGAACAAATGCGAATGTCCTCTTCATCTATGACTTGGAAATGGCGGCTGAGAATGCCTATGTCTCTCTACTATCGTACAAGAAGTTAGCCAAGGGGTGGACAATCCACATACGTCCTGTCGGTGATCATAATAGTCGCGCGGATCATGATTTGGGGAACCGAGCTTTTAATCAATTCATTTGGGCAGTATGTTTTGATTGTTATATTAAGTCTCGGGAAAGTCCCCCCACCTTCCACTGGATGAACTGGATCTTTGCAAAGGCCATGGAATTCTGTTCCAATCATTGCTGGCCCGATTGAGCATTGAAGCATTCAGCAAGTTCAGTTTCAACGACTAGTAGTTAACTAACACTATATTCTCTTGATGATGGGAATGGGAGATGCAACCAACCCAAGGTAGCTATCAGAGAAGCCGATCAGTGGAATAGGAGAGCGATGAGAAGTCTCTCATCAAGCCCATGTGGTGGTTCCTTTGGATTTTAGGTATATACGAGACAAATGCCTATAACTCTTTTGCTAAGTGGCATATCTGATCAGTGAGTTGTTGCGGGCGGACAACAGCAGGAGTTTCTTGAAATATTCCAGTTACACACCCTCCATGACTGGTGGTAAGAAATAACTGCCCATGCATCAGAGGACATCTATTCAGAACTAGTTGCTGTCGATTTGTTTAATAACTATAACATGTAGAGGATTGACGTGGAGAATGGTACGTACTTGTCTCCGGCGTCGGACATGGGATTAACAAAGCAAGCAAGCCCTTTTGATTTTTCAATACAAGCATTATAGAAAAATTATCTTCTCTTCTCTGGTCCATCCTTGCTGCGGGCTTGGGGGCGTAACTTGGATTGGCCCGAAGAAATTCTTTAATTAGCTAGGCTTTGCGCCGACGAAGCTTGTTCAGGGTTTCAGGGTTTCAACACACACCAAGTCTGAGAACTCTTTCGACCAACCCTCGAAAAGCACCTCCTCATCTTGCACTCCGGAAACCAACCACCACCACCACCACCACATCCTCCTCCTCCTACTCAGCTCACACCCCCGCTGAGTATGAGCACCACAACCCTCATCAACACGGCGCAGCGTTCGACTCTGCTGTCGCCAATCCTGCAACTCCCAATACCCACCACGATGCTCTCCTCCTCCGCCTCCGTTGCCGCTTCCGTATCCCAACAATCCCCCCTGGACAAATTCCCGGTCTTCGAAGACGAACCCTCCGTCTCTACTCCGTCCTCCACAACTACATACCAAACCCCCTTCAGCGACAATCTCGCCCCTCTCCCTTCCCACCTGTCGCAGCCTCTGCGCAGTTCGCATCACCAGCAGCAGCAGCAGCAGCAGCAATACCAGCCGCCCAGATGGGCGCCCCGGAAACATCCCTCCATCCTCTCCATTGACACCAGCTCCAGCACCGGTTCCAAGCAGCGTCCGCGGAAAAGTATCAGTGAGGCCATTGGCGGCTTTAGGAATCGAGGGACGAGCGTCAGTGCCAATGCGCAGGAGTTGGCCGAGGCGTTGAAGGCGCCTGTTTCGTACAAGCTCATCGTATGTACCCTCACCCGCAATATCCGTTGCATTTAGATGAGAGCAAAGGGGGAAGAAAATAAATAACTAACTATTACCCGTCATGACTCTTTCTTATCTAGATCCTCTGTATAATCTGGTACACCACCTCTGCGCTAACAAACACCTCCTCAAAATCCATCCTCACAACCCTCCCAAAACCCATAACCCTAACCATAATCCAATTCGCCTTCGTCTCCTTCTGGTGCTTCATGCTCGCCAGCCTAGCCTCCATCTTCCCCTCCCTCCGCCGCGCCGTACCCCCGCTGAAAAATGGCCTCCGCAAACCCTCCCGCATCGTCATCAAGACCGCGCTGCCACTCGCCATCTTCTCGCTCCTAGGCCACATCCTCAGCTCGATGGCCACGTCACAAATCCCCGTTTCGCTCGTGCACACCATCAAGGGACTATCTCCCCTATTCACGGTGGTGGCGTACCGCTGCATCTTCCGCATCAAGTACGCGATGGCGACGTATCTATCCCTCATCCCGCTGACGGCGGGCGTGATGCTGGCATGCTCATCGGGTTTCAGCACGAACCTTCTAGGAATCCTCTGCGCCTTCTCCGCTGCCATCGTCTTCGTGTCGCAGAACATCTTCTCCAAGAAACTGTTCAATAAAGCTGCTCGCGCGGAGGCGGAGGACCACCATCATTACAGGAACAAGAACACATCCGCAAACCTCGACAAACTGAATCTCCTCTACTACTGTGCCGCCCTCGCCTTCCTCCTTACCCTCCCCATCTGGTTCGTGTCGGAAGGCTACACCCTCCTCTCCGACCTGCTGCGCACCGCCACCATCCCTCTCCCCACCGACAACAAATCATCCTCCACCGAACCCCTCGAGACCGGGCCCCTCCTCCTCCAATTCCTCTTCAACGGCCTGTCCCACTTCGCCCAAAACATCTTCGCCTTCTCCATTCTCTCCATGGTCTCCCCGGTCTCCTACTCCGTCGCCTCGCTGCTCAAACGTGTTGTCGTCATCATCGCAACGATCATCTGGTTCGGCAGCCCGACGAACCCGGTGCAGGCCATCGGCATTGGACTGACGTTTTTGGGTCTGTATCTTTATGATCGGAATAGCCATGACGATGCGGCGGATCGGAGGGCGAGGGATGATCGGTTTCATGGTGGTGATGTTGAGGGTGCGGGGAAGAAGTCGCCGCTTTTACCACTTAGTAATGTCGCTGGCATTGGTAGTGTTGGCGTTGGTTCTGCTGCGAATGGAGGCAAAGCCTGGGACTCGAACGGGTATTCATTTTCCATGGTGGGGCCGAGAAGGGGGGAGCATCCGGCTGCGAAGGCACCACCGGTTAATAATGTGACGAAGAAGGTTGATGGGGCTGGTGCTGGTGCTTCTGCCGGCTGGCTGCTGCCGGGGACGAAGCAGGAGTCTACGTGGAAGGAGGGTGATTCGAGGGCGTTGAGTTAGGTATTTTGTCTTTTTTCTTTATTTTTTCTTTATTTTCTATTTCCCCCTTTTTAACTTGCAAGATATAACTATTGTTGTTTTGTTTATCTTGATAATCTTCTGTGGTTGGGAGGGGATTTTCATAGGCGGAAGAAGGAATGAATCGTGGGTGTTTTTGGTGATTTGTTGTATTGTTCTCCTTCGTCCTGCCTTCCATCCCTTCTCGGCACATGAACTGAAACACGGCTCCGTGTTTTAATTCTTTTGTATTTTGCTATTTCTCTCTCTCTCAAAAGTGATAAAGGGGACATCGGAGTTTTTATATTTCTGTTACTTGTACAGTTCTTTACCCCTTTTGACCTTCACACTTCTTTCTGCTACTTCTACTTACTATATACGTGGGATGAGTCCTAGATAAGTATGGGCGGTTTATATCTTCCTGTTTTTTATTGTGAAATATCTTTTTCTCCTCCAGATTTCTCTGTGCCTTTTATATTGTACTTTGTACAGTGCCTTAATACACGTTCGCCTGTTTGTTCAGTCCCGCCGTGCTATATGAAGACGGGATGGGACGGATTGCAAACGAGATTCTTCGACGACAGTACACTTTCCCCTGGCTTGAGAAGGGGAAGGAGGGATGATAAGAAATTTCTGAATGCAACATTCGACACCAATTTTTCTCTCTGCTTAATTTCAAAACGCACAGCACATAGAATTTTTCAATATTTATTTCAAGACTTGGGGAAATCTACTGTTCCTTTGTCCCACTCGGATCCAGTGAGCTACGCTATGTTCCAATTTTATTTGGCAGTCCTTGCAAAGGGAAGTCTTGTCTTCTCTTTGACAGACAGATACATATATCAACTCCTAGCAAAGCCTTCTCCGCACAAGCCCGTATCACGATATAAATCAACAGAGCCTCTCCTTCACCAACCCTCAGCAAACCATCCATCCCCAGCAACATGCAGAGCAATGTAATGTATGTAGCAACCGTCGGTAAGGAACAAAGTAACCCTCAGGGGGCCCAAGCGAGACCCTAAGCCGCTCCAGCTACGGCGCCGAAAAACACTCCATTTTTCCTGTAAAAGCAAAAAGAGAAAAGTATTTTAATCTCTCTGGGAGCATAGTGTAGAGGAAGAAGGGTGCGGGCATTGAATATACTTCATATATATATATATATATATATATATAGAGTATAGTCAAGATCCCTCCCTCCTACAATAAATCATGTCCGTGAATGAGTTTAATTGAGAAAGAAAAGAGAAATAGAAGAGGAAGAAGAAGAGACAAAAGTTAACAGAAGCAGAGCTTGGAGTGTGGAATAACAGTTCTTCCGGAATATGTAGCTAGCAAATATCAGCTGACCTAGCCAATCAGCGGCGGTCATTATGCGTTACTAAGCGCGCTAAGCATGCCTCAAACAAATCACAGCCTAAAAAAGGAACATACCGAGCTCATCTCATACCCTTACTACTACACGCCAAACCAAAACCCCCATTGATCCGTCCCGGGGCCCAAATCCTACAATAATCCCCCTATCCGATTCGCTGCTCAATTCGTTCCTCCCGCCCCCTTTTGTTTCTGCAATTGGTCCTCGAGAGCTGGTGCGTGGTTTCGGTCCCACTGGCAATGATCCGGCCGCTGTTCCTCCGTGCGGCGGCACGGGCGAGGAGAAGGGTTCAGTTCGGGAGGGTTGGGTATAGATGTGTTTCTGGGAAGAGGGGGTTTTCGAGTACGGGAGAGAGGAGGGCGGAGGTTGAGCTTACTGTTGGTATGTTTTTGTTGGGCTTGGTTGAAGGAGGAGGTGGAGGTGGAGGTGGAGAGAGACGGGGAGCGGGGGAGGATGGGATGGAATGGGATGTTTAAGGATTGAATTGGTTATGATTTTTTTATGGATTGATTGGCTGACTTGTGTTTTTGATTCGTAGATGGGAAGAAGGTTTCGATTGAAGGTTAGTGCGCTTGGTTATATTCCGGATGATATATTTCTTTTGGTGATGGGGTATGTGGAATTGCTTGGTTTGCTGATGTCGGTTGGGACATGCAGCTGGTTCCGCTTTAATTCAAGCTTGTGAGAAGGCTGGCGTTACAATTCCAAGGTAGGCTCAATTGCTTCCAAAAGAATCTTTGGCTGTGTTTTTCTTCGTTAACTGACTGGCTGGATCTCCGCAGATATTGCTATCACGAGTAAGTTTTAGTATTTGAACGCAATGCTTCTTTTACCACAGGATGAAAATTGGATTGTTAAGTAAATTTCCAGGAAACTATTGATTGCAGGAAACTGTACGTCCTCCCCTTACTCTCCACAGCCGTTGTGTTCAACAAAGTGCAATGCTAACCTTCACCAGGCCGAATGTGTTTAGTCGAGGTCGAACGAGCTCCCAAACCGGTAGCATCATGTGCATGGCCAGTCCAGCCGGGAATGGTCGTCAAGACAAACTCCCCCATCACACACAAAGCAAGAGAAGGCGTCATGGAATTCCTTCTCGCAAACCACCCCCTGGACTGCCCAATCTGCGACCAGGGCGGAGAATGCGATCTGCAAGATCAGTCGATGAGATATGGTGCTGACCGTGGTCGGTTCCACGAAATAGGCGGCAAGCGCGCCGTGGAGGACAAGAATATCGGACCCTTGATCAAGACCTCGATGAACAGATGCATCCACTGCACACGCTGTGTTCGATTTGCAAATGACATTGCTGGTGCCCCTGAGCTGGGAACGACGGGCCGAGGAAACGAGATGCAGATCGGCACGTATTTGGAAAAGAATTTGGATTCGGAATTATCTGGCAACGTTATCGATTTGTGTCCTGTTGGTGCATTGACGTCGAAACCATATGCTTTCCGCGCACGACCATGGGAACTGCAACATACCGAATCCATCGATGTGCTGGACGCCCTTGGATCGAATATCCGAATCGACGCCCGCGGAATGGAAGTCATGCGCATCCTTCCAAGGTTAAACGACGACGTCAACGAGGAATGGATCAACGACAAAACCCGCTTCGCCTGTGACGGCCTGCGCACCCAACGCCTTACCACCCCACTAGTCCGCCGCGACAACAAATTCCACCCCGTAACCTGGGAACAGGCCCTGACCGAAATCGGCAACGTCTTCCGCACCCTCTCCCTGCAAGCCAACGAATTCAAAGCCATAGCTGGCCACCTCATCGAAATCGAATCCCTCGTCGCCATGAAAGATCTCGCGAACAGGCTCAACTCCGACAATCTGGCCCTTGACCAGCCCAACGGCAACCTCCCGCTCGCCCACGGCATAGACGTCCGCTCAAACTACCTCTTCAATTCCAAAATCTACGGCATCGAAGAAGCAGACGCCATCCTGCTCGTCGCCACGAATCCGCGCCACGAAGCCGCCGTCCTCAACGCCCGCATCCGCAAACAGTTCCTCCGCACAGACCTGCAGGTCGCCCTTGTCGGCGAGGAATTCGACAGCACCTTCGCCTACAATCACCTCGGCAACTCTCTCAAGGACCTCAAGGCCGCGCTCGCGGGCGCCTTCGGCAAGACCCTGGCCTCCGCCAAGCGGCCAATGATCATCCTTGGCTCCGCCGCGGCCGAGCACCCGGATGCGCGCGCCATCTTCGAAACGGTCGGCTCCTTCGTCGAT